TGAATGATTTCCACACATATATATACAAGTCTACTACCTTAACAACCTAACAAATTATGGAGAGAAACCTAACAAAATTATGTTTCTAAGGACAAATTTGTTGTAACAAATTTGTTGGTGATTCCCTCCATTTACAGCACATAACAGTTGTAAATAACTATTTTTAACCATAATTTATTCTTCTAATTCTTATATTTTCTACACTCCCCCTCAATCTAGTTTACGTATATGTTGAGTAAATTTAGATTGGATATTATGTCATCAAAGGTTCTCTTAGGAAGAGGTTTAGTTAGAATATCTGCGATCTGTTGATCGGTTGAAATATGCATCAGAGTTATAGTCCCATCTTCCAATTTTTCTCTAATGAAATGACGATCAATCTCCACATGTTTAGTTTTATCGTGATGTACTAGATTTTTAATCATACTAATTGTTGATTGGTTGTCGCACCATACTTTCATAGGCATATTGTTGAGAACTTTTAATTATTCAAGTATTCTCTTCAACCATACACCTTCACAAATACCATGAGCGAGCGCTCTAAATTCAAATTCTGCATTGCTGCGAGACACAACAAACTGTTTCTTGCTTCTCCAGGTAATCAGGTTACCTCAAACATAGGTATAATATCCTGATGTAGATCTCCTGTCGTTTGGAGAACCTGCCCAATCCGCATCCGTGTAAATTTAAACACCCCTTCTGTCTGTTTTTTTAAAAGAATAAACCTTATCCTGGAGTTTTCTTGAGATACTTCAGAATCCGATACACAGCACTCATATGATCTTCTGTTGGCTGATGCATGAACTGACTTACTGTACTTACTGCAAAACTGATGTCTGCTCTTGTGTGAGCCAAGTAAATAAGTTTCCCAACAAGTCTTTGGTATCTCCCTTTGTCAACCATTTTATTACTGATTCTGGATCCAAGTTTGATGACTGAGTCCATAAGGGTGTCAGCAGGCTTGCTTCTTAGCATCCCAGTCTCCTTTAGGAGATCCAGAATGTACTTTCGTTGAGAAACTGAAATCCCCTTTTTTGATCTAGCTACTTCCATACCGAAGAAGTATTTTAGTGCTCTAAGATTTTTTATTTCAAATTCTTTGGACAGGAATTCTTTAAGTTTCTGAATCTCCTCAAGGTGATCTCC